CTAAATTCCACGATTCGAAGTTTAGGTTCTAAATTACATAGCTGCAGTGCTTGAAAGTTTTTATTCATTTGATCAACATAAATTGTCGATTTGGGCTCTATTTATTGTGATCATTCACCCTTGCTTTCAGGTGGTAGAAGTAGCATTGCAAATCTGCAATTCGACATCCCGATATCCCGAAACTTTAGAAAACAAACCTATTTATATATGGGGAATTTTCCTAACAGCGTAATCGAATAATTTTTTTCACAAAAAAGTAGCATGTTGGAGAATTGGATTGGCTTCTCTTTGACAAAAACAATGAAACCTTTTCCGATAATCAGTTAAAACTATAGTTACCACTTTGATATCAATTTTGGAAAGTTTGCCACTCAAACTCAGTAGGTATATTTTTTAAGTATTCAATTGAGCATTCTAATTTGATATGAGATCGATAATATATATATAATACTGACGTGGAATCATCCAGAAAATTTTTAAATATAAATCGACTGTTGCTCATCTGGCACGATCCATCAAACGCACTTAATTGGACACACTATTAGGATCAAGACTAAAAGTCAACGTTCATTACCAGTAGGAAAATTCCCATACTACTCGAGGTCAGTGACATTTTTCTCCGCGCGATACCTGGTTATTTACCCACTTAATTAACAGCGTTTAACTCAGCTTGAAAATCCTTATTTTGCTATGAAAGCATTTGAAAAAATAACCGAGTTATGCATTAATCTTCATTTCCTTAGGTTCTTCAAAAAGATAATGGTACTCCCGCATCGGCCGAAGAAGTTCGTGGTGTCATTCGAAATTGCCTTCAACAGGCAGCTCTTGTAAACTATTCACGAGTCTCTGAATACGCCTCCATTGAAAGTAAGTTGTTACTAGTTCGATTGACGGTAAATACTTCAAATTCATACCTCAAAATACAATGGGAAAAAAATTCTTCCTTAATTAAAACAATATTGTAAATAAAGAGTTAAAGACAAAGTTTGCACTAAAATAAACAAAAAAACTGTCAAAAGAGATTAATTAGTAGAAACTTTATTGCAGAGCGAGATTCTTTGAGAAGGATCGATAAACTGCTTGTTTTAAAAGGTATAGATCTTGTGTAGAGTAGAGAAATTCGATAAAGTAATAAATAGAACAGCCATTTGTAGTTATGCTTCAAGGTCATTAACAGGTAATTTATTTCTGCTAACAACCTTCAGTTATCGATTTTACGACATGTAGATTTCTAAAGTAGGGAAGATTAAAATAATTGGAATTTATTTTTATTATTTTTCGGAATATATTTCATTGCTTTTAAACTTTTCGTTTTAAATTCGGTCTTTTTACTTAAGGTGGTCAAGATACCTCCCAACAGCCACCAAGTGAGTCGTTATATGAATTTATGATTTTATTCATTGTGAATATAAAATGTCACAAGTTTCAATGCATATGAAAATGCGTACATTTTTATTGTTTTAATGTAATGTGCAATATTACTAATTGATTCCCTAATTTATTTAGCTTCAGAGAAATCAATATCCGATCTCATACATCTTGCTGAACTATGCATTGAAGTACTTCGACAAAACGAGGAACACCATGCTGAGGTAGTAATTATTGAATTTCTTCTGTATTTTTTAAAATATGTTTTTAAAACTGTCCATTTTTATTCATAAATCGACATTTCAGCTGCATTTACTCATGGGGACCATTAAGGAAGATAGAAATACTTACGAACTAAGTATTAGTCAATACTACCTTAATGAGAAATTAAAAAATTCTATAAAGACATTTATCTTCTAAGTCAGATTTGGAAAATAAAAAGTTGATACAAACAGTTTCATAAATATTCTCCAAGCAATACACTAATAATGAGTCTATTGCATTGAGTTGTCTTTTAAAAATAATGTTTCTACTCAAAAATAAATTGATAAAGTTAATGTTAGAATTAAATAAATTTTATATATATCAAAGAGAAGATAGCATAAGTAATAATGAGGTTATAGTTCACTTCTGATGTTACCACGAAACCGTATTAGTAGAGAACTGTCCTAATGAACATTCTATTCCACAATATTGGCATATCATCCATGTTAAAATATTCATATTCTGCCTTTTTTAGTCCTTTGCATGGTTTAGTGATCTCCTAACGGAGCATGCGGAACTTTTCTGGTCCCTTTTTGCTGCCGATATGATTACTGTCATGGAAAAGATACCGCCGGATTGCTGGGACGCTTTTCCACTCTTTCAAGTCCTTAATGACTACTTAATCACAGAAGGTGAGTAATACGTTGAGTAAACTAGACTACTTGAAGTAGTAGGCGGTTTAAAATTGTTATTTGAGCAGTGAGGCTAATCTGCATTTCGCTTCAATAATACTAGCAATCCACTTTAACGAAGCGGCAACTGTGGAAGTAGGATTTGCTGGAAGTAGGCAGTGAATATTAATTAAGTTGGCAAGGATGAATTTTAGGAAAAACGGTTTATTTTTCTTGTGATCTGCTCAATCATCCTGTCAGGATGTCATGGCTAAGATGTGACATTGATGATAAAGGACCCGTGGACCACCGCAGAAAGTGAATAGCCCAGTTAAAGAACCTGACGCATATGTTAACATCTGCCACGCTTTGATTTGGTATTAACTTTATTGAAACTCATTTCATGGTTTGGACATAACGCAACTGCAATCGTCTGAGGGTATGTTGAAAGCGCGCGAGTCGAAAAGGGAGTGGAATTACAGTCAAGATATCGTCTTTAGTCTTGAATTCGGCTTGTGAAATGTTTATTGAATGCGCGGTTCTCATTGTCAAACACCAATTTTATTATACGCCTTGTTTGCAGATTTTGTTTTTTAGCTATGATTGTCGGTTTTCACACTTCAATCCAGGCATTTTTTCCAAGGTTTGGAAGTTTAATGGGCTCTTTTACGATATCAAGCATTATAAATTGTAGGTAAATTTTTTTTGATTTATCGGAGATCAATATTAGCGAATACCGTGATTGGTTAGGGTGAAATGATGCTTCTGAGTGGTTTAATGCTTCTTTTGTTTAATAATTCAATTCACTATCCTGAAATGTGAAAACAGCAAAGGATCTAATTGATTTCATCTCTATTGCTGTATAAACTGAAAATGAAATAAGCCGATTAGCGTTAAAAGCAAGTTTTAAGTTTATAAATTTCTAATTAATACATATATAGGCTTTTTAGCATTGCCAAAAGCCCTGAATGCTTGGCGTTTGATCAAATTTTGTTGTGACAGCTAGTTGTAAAGAGAAAAATGTCACGTTCCCTAACTGTAAAGCACGGTGTAGGCAGCCCACACCCTATTCAAAGTTTTAGTCATGATAAATTTTTCGTATATAATGCATAATTGAATAATTAATATTATAACATATGAGGTTTTATCTCTATAAATAGAAATTCAATCAAATGTCGTTCGTTTACTAAAGAACAAGATGTTTGAAAATGTACATTAAAGGAATTTAAAAATAATCAATAAATACTGGTATTCAATTTTGGTCTCTCAACCAAGGAAACTGCAAACGAAGTTAAGACAGAATTGGCATTTTACTGGAGTCCAAGCTATCCTCAATTTGTTAGCAAAACACTGGCGGATAGAAAACGGTTTAAATCCAATGTGACTGTCAACCTGGCATCTGTTATATGTCCCCTTCGTTTCGATATTGGACGATGGGCAACTAATAAACCACGGCTATATGCTCCTTCTATTCCCCAATGGGCAGAGGAAGTTGCATGTTAGGCTTAGAAACTACTCTCAACTTTAATAAGTAGTACAGTGAAAATGAGGTATCGAGGATGCTACCTCGGGGTTTTTAAATGTCTAATGAATAGAAAAGAGCTAGAAAGCATTGTGAAACGCAGTCGTTCGGCGCAAGTACTTTTAAACGTGGATAAATAAAGGGTTTTGATTAGAAAATTTAGAAAATTCAAAAAATAAAGGCTTTTCGTAATCATTTGAATCTTCATAAGTCATAGCAACTAATAATTCGTGCTTGAAAATTATGAATAATAGATTAAAGATAGCTTTAGGAGAACGACATTACTTTCAAAATATGTCCGTTGTCTTTGTTGATTGCAAATGGATTAACTTCAAATGGTGCTTGCTTTCAAGACAGGCGGAAAAATAGCCCAACGCAGTTATTCTGTTTATTTTTAAACTTGATTTTCAAAGGGAACGCCCACCTGACCTAGCAGTCACATCAAAATGACGTCAGTCTTCTGTTGATCAGCTGATTGTCATTTATTAATTGGTAAATGAAAGTACGACAATTGTTTACTTATTTTTCCTCGACTATGTTAACGTTTAATTTCTTTGATTTCATCCCTCTCATTATGTAAATAAAATTAATTTATTAAATTATTTTTCGAACTGGTTAATTTTTTTTACTGGGCACAATTCTTTTTGTTGCAGCTGGGTGTCGTTTGATTAAATTTTAACAACTTTTATATCTGTCTTATATGTTCCCTCTACGGTTTTATTTTTTTTTCTTTTATTTTGAGAATTTTGGCAGTTCTGATTTACTTGTGCAACATTTCTGTCACTGCAGACATTTTAATGAGGAGAAACCAAGTGGCACAACTTGTTTGCTAATATTTTTTGCGTTTGGCTTTAAATTTAGAATGCCTTAAGGAGGGGAAATTCCACCAACAAATTCGCGAGATGTTCGCTCCTATGGTCATTCGCTATGTCGATCTCATGGAAGCCTCAATCACCCAATGCATTCGTGGCGTTCCAATTGCGGAGGGTAGTGGAAACGTTGGTGGAGGCGGCTCAATGCTCAATGGCGCAGATAATGTTAACAGTGGTAATAGTGGTAGTAGTGGTTTGGCTTCGGCTCTTGGTTCTATGGGCTCTTCACTAGCAAGCGCTGCTGTAAATGCTGCTAGTGCCGCAGCGGCGGGAAGTGGAAGTCTTGTTACCGCTGCGGTTAATGCTGCAAGTGGTGGAAGTAGTTCGAGTAGTGGAGCGACCAGCGGCTTTGGATTTGGCGCGGGTGCTGTTATTCCTGTTTCATCTGACGAACTTATTTGGAAGTTGGAAGCCCTGCAGACTTTCATTCGTGAGTTACACTGGACGGATGCAATATTTGCAGAGCATTTGGATAATCGATTAAAGATGATGGCGGCTGATATGATTGATGCTGCTGCTAACAGGTAAGTCCAGATTTAATCTACTCATACTCTTATCATGTAGCTAGTGGGTACTCAAACCTATTGTCCTATTTAGAAATCAGGAGTGCTTTGACGCTTGGCTCAGTCGCTCCTCAAAAGGGACCGATTTCATTCTCCCGAATGAATGCTGTAACATGATTAATACAGTCGCTGCACTCAAAGCCAATATTCTCAAACTTTGTACCAAAGAAACTCAAGGAGAAGATATGGTAAGCTTTCACTTAAGTTGGCATATCCAATGGCTGCTTCATTGAAGTAACTAATGTGTTTGTCCTAATCTAGCATGAGTATCACAACCAAACTGAGAATAATTTGGAAAAGATTCAACGGAGAATGGCGTATATTTTGAATGATAAACTAGGGCAAGTACTAGAAGGAACACTTGCTAGACTTGCGCGATATGATTCCAACACGCTCCTTTCTTCTGTCCTGTCCTTAACGGTAAGAAAAGAAAAATATATATATTTTTAACCTCCATTTATTATATTTACAAAAATTAATCTCATACTCATTTAGAAGCCAACGGATGAGGTTGGAAAGGCATATGTAGAATTTATGCGCGTAAATTTGGAACAATTGCGACAGAAGTTATCTGATGAGGTTTACGTTCTATCCGCCATGGAGGTAAGTTTGCACATCATGTTTTCACCTTTGGTTTGTTAAATAGAAGATCTATTAGATGTTTTGACATCATTTGAAGAGTTTCCCTACGTAGAACCAACTCCATCTCTCTCTCTCTCTCTCTCTCTTGCAGAGACAGGAAGAGGCTAGAGACTATTGATTTGACCAAAAGTAGTAACTCAAGCAACACTCACATTATGCATTAAAACAAAGGTAAAACAAGAAGCTAAAATGAGTGAGAATTAACCAATTAAGAAATACAGATTGGCACAATGCTAATTTAATTTATAGTAAATCATAAGTCGATCTACATCCAATCATATACTGGCCAATATTTGGTTGCGGTAACTAGGTAATTATCGAAATATATGGTTAATTTCTACCCAAGCAGTAGCTATCTTTCAACTACATTAATTAGACAAAAAATCGCTATTTGAAATATAAAAAAAAACAAATTAAGTCTAGGAAACACATATTTGACATTTGATATAAATTATTCATCTAATTTGCCACTGATTTAATTACAAATTACGTCGTTCTTTACGTAGACATGGTACATGTCACAAACGCGTTTGATAAATGAGTGGCTATCTGAACGCGAAAGTCACTCTCTCCATCCGTACCAATTCACTTGCCTTTCAACCATTATGAAGGTATGCAAATTATACATATATATATATATATATATATATATATATATATATATATATATATATATATATATATATATTTATATATATATATATATTCTATTAGTGTTGATTGAAGTAGTTTAACAAAATTTAAAAAAAACTAATTTCTAACTTTACTTTTGCTCTAGAAAATGTACTCAGACTTTGAACTTCAAGGTATATCGCCAGACGCCCTTGATACTATGATGTATAAAAGTATCTCCCGACGCTTACAGGTACAATTTTTCTTATTCCTAATACGGATGCAATATTCCTATTAACGTAAATCTTTGACCATATATATATATTATTTATTATTTATATAAGGTTGAAGAAGCTACTATTGCAGTGCAATCAAATTCCACTTCAAGCCCCACTCGTTCATTGCTGGGAACTATTACTGGTGGTTTTAGCGGTCTCTCCAACAGTATCCCAAAGCCCAATTTTCTCAGTAGAATAGGGTAGAAAACGCCATATATCTCTCCCCCTTTAATGTCCTATGCTCTCTCTTACGAAAGGGGCCAGCTTCTCTAACCCTCCCCTCTCCCCCTCCCAAACTATTCAACCCTTCCCAATTCGACTTTAAATGTTCATCTTACTTTGGTGTTGAAGTAGATATGTACGATTGTTTCTCCTTCCTCTATTATACAGAATTGCATGTACACACTTGGCGAAAAGGAAGGTACTTAAATTGATGCGATATTTCCTCCCATCTTTAGAAATGTGCCTATTAATTATCTATTATTTAAAAAAATATCAACGAGTACGATAATAACCATTAATGCGGTGTTAGTTTCTTATTTCAAAGCCAAGAGTCTTGAATTTTTTGATAAGATGATTTAGGAGGAATTGCGAATCAAGGCATACTCAAGTAGAAGTTTGTTGAAATTGTGGCCGCCAATTGATAGGTTTGTGGGACACGTCATCACCTACCGCGTGATCGCATGCGCGCATAACCAATGGCCAATCAAAGCCTTCGTTTATTTTGTTGAATCGGCTATTCTGACTGCAACTGACCTTCCAGTATGCGCACTTTTACAACGATAAACTTCCCAAATAAACGTGTTCCATACGATACCTCTGTTTTCTTTATATCTGCACTGTATCTTAGCTAGTTCTGGGAATCTAGTCCGAGGTAGGAGATTTTTGAGTTAGTCAAGGCTTTACTAGTGTGACGATCCGCAACAGTCTTACCATACTAGATGATCATATTGGAAAATGTAAAAGGATTTGAGGTACTCGAGTAAACTAATGTCATAATGAAATAATAATTGGTTAAGAAATTCAAATAATTTCTGCGGAGTTACTCTTTTCTTAATGGACCATGCAAACGCAGGAGGACTTAGGACTGCAAACATATAAAAAATTAATGTGGATGTGTGAAATCAGAATGTAGGTGAGATATGATGTGGTCTTAAAGTAGGCAAGTGAAACTTTGATGCATTAAATACATTAGGGCGAATTTCATTTTGCCCAGACCTAAATACCAAAGTTTGGGATCGTCTCAAGTAGTTTAATTCGTGCAGGTTTCAATAAAAAATAATAGAGTGGTATATTTATTTTGGTCATTTTATGAAGTAGCTACCAGCTTCTTGTAAAATCAGTTCAAGTGTCTATTAATTATTTCGCCTCAAGCGCTTTACTTTTAAAACTGTAAAAAACACAACGCGGAATGGTTTTCCAGTTGAAAATTAATAAGCGGAGTGAATCTATTCCACTAAGAGAAAAAAGGGCGCTTGATTCTAATATAAGTAAAAAGTAATTTAAATAAGGTAAATCTTCCTCCAACAATGGTTCACAGGTGACCCATAAAGCCAAAAATATATTGATAAGGACTTATTGGGTCTAACTAAGAGTATTTATTGTGTTGTGCCGAGAATATTCTTTGATCAAGGGTTGCCAATTGTCAAAGATTCGTTTAGATGATTAGAGTCATCTTTGTGCTATGAAGTGTGCAATGCCACTGAGGTGGTGCTAAAGAATCCCACAATCTTGAAAATTCTAGAAAATGTAATTATGTTACATACCTAGTATGGAATAAATATGAACGTTTAGCTCGATGTCTAGCAGCCATTCAGTATTCAATATTCGCTGGTCGTAACGTTAATTATATTCGATAATAGGATAATTCGAACGTAGACTTATATAATTTTGTGAAAAATTGCATAAATTGTTGGCATTATTCGTGGTTTTCAGCATCTAGTTAAGTTATGCGTCCATTTACCTAATTTTCGTCATTGTTAGACTAGATTGAGTTACACCACATCATACTAATCAATATTATTTTTTAGCATTCGTTCTAGATTAGCACCTAAAATCAAGTATAAAAGAGAATCAGAGAGAAAATTCATTATCCCTTGCAGACAGTTTGATTAGATCAATTTTATTCGCTTGACATAAAACCAATTAAGTTTATAAACAATTGCTGTTATTTAATCTGGGAAAAGTCTTAATAACAATATTCATTTCAATTTAATTGCCAATTTTTCACATTATTTAATAGAAGAATAATACGGAAATCACAAAAAACCTTGTACGAATCAAGCATTAACTTTCGAAATGAGAATTATATTAAACTTTGGTCAACTTAATTTTATTTAGCTAAATTCATTACCAAAACCGAAAAAACGAACGACTCTTGATCGAAGTAGTATTGAATTAAATATTTCAAAATTAATCATATGCTTTTTTAACAATAAAATTCTAAATTTTAATACATTTTTGAATGTTTGTTTACAGTGATTTCTTAATGTTCGCTTGAGAATTTGAATCAACTAGCCCAATTTCTCATTTATGAAAATGGCCCGTGATCTTTCTCAAGGAAACGAGTTCGAAGAAGATGAGGAAGAATTCCGTCCTCGGGGTAATAATCTGAAGCTATGGGGAAATCAAGTGACAATGAATATTAATCCAATGATTCACACAAATATTATTCAGTCTCCATATTTCAAGACAAACCTTATCGAACTGAAGACATATCACGAGGTTATTGATGAAATTTACTACAAAGTCACACATCTGGAGCCGTGGGAACGCAATAGCCGTCGTGTTGGTGGACAGACAGGTATGTGCGGTGGTGTGCGAGGTGTAGGAGCTGGAGGAATCGTTTCAACTGCCTATTGCTTGCTCTTTAAACTCTTCACTCTGAAACTAACTCGAAAACAGCTGAAGGGTCTATTGGAACACCCAGATTCTCCATACATAAGGTCTCTGGGCTTCATGTACATTAGGTAGGTGCTCTAAATTCAATGCTAAAGCAAACATTTCTAGATATTGTCTCCCTCCAGAGGATCTTTGGATGTGGTTTTCGCCATATCTTGATGATGAAGAGGTGCGTAAATTTGTTACTCAGTTTGTTTTTGTGCATATTGCAGCACTGGCCTCTTAGTCAGCTCAAGGAGCTCAGCTTGACTCACATTTTGTGTAAGAAATGGGCTTCAAGAAAACTTAGTTATCTTCCACGAATGTATTTATAACTACTTTTTTTTGCTCTTCCTCTGTACCTCTAGGAAGTCGATGTGCGTGCTGGTGGAGGTTGTACCATGACAATTGGAGCGATGTTGGAGCAATTTCTCACCAAGCTTGATTGGTTTACAACCTTATTTCCTAGGATACCTGTACCTGTTCAGAAAAAAATAGAGGAGAAGCTGAGGGAGTACAAACGCAATCAGTCTCTAATGGAGAAAGAACCTTCACGGGATCCAAAACATAGTGATCGGGAAGAACTCAGCGATTCTGTTGACCGTTATTCGAAGGAAAGAAAGAGGTACGCCAAAGGCTATTTTAATTTACTTATTCAAGATGCCGTCAACATGTTTGCTTGTACTAATTTCGGTAATTCCTTGCTTTAATAGTGCGGATTTTGGTGAAATCTACCTCATCGTTCTTCATTTAAATCTCATGGATTAGTTTTAGGATTTTTACTCAATATCTCTAGGGCGTTGCGCAGCATCTTCATCTAATTGGCTTAGGAATTACAAGTTAAAATATATTAGGAATGCGGATTATTTCTTAGTGTACTAAATTGTGACACCTTGGCTCAACTAGTTTTGCTCTTTGAATTTCTTGTTCCGATCACGTTTAAATAGATTGATTATCGCGCAGTTAACCGATTTTGAATATATTGTTTGACTTATAATAGCTATTCCTAACTTTTCATATGGCGTATCTATGTTTTCTTTATTCGGTCTCTAATATGAAAACCATTCAATGTGTTTCTTTCGTAACTACCTTGAAGAACATATTTAATACAAATGCTTGTTAAAAATAGATCCAAAGTACTAATATATGTATATTGAAACAGTGTGTTTTTCAACGCACCTTATGTAGTGACTCGAATACTCCCTTTTGAATCTGTTCAAATGGGTTACATTTGCCACGATATTTGTTGGGTCTGCACCAATGGGTATGGAACAGTTGATTTCTGATGCTAAGCTTTGATCATTTAGCCATTTTCTTTCTCCATACAGACATAAGGAACATGATCGAGATCGTTCCTCCAAGCGTCGTTCACGTTCTCGGGAAAAGGTTCGAAATCATCGTCCCAAACCTCATCATCGTCATCGGTCATCTCGCTCAAGGTCAAGGAGTCGCGATCGCGGCGGACGAGATGAACGAGAGAGCTCTTTCGATCGGGACATGCGCCGTGCTCGCGAGAAAATGCGACGTTGAAATGTGCTATTTTTATTATTAGTGCACTTGCAGTAAGACTAACTCACGGTTTGAATGTGTAATTTATTACAGTGTTTTTATTGGTATACATATAATATCTAATTAAACAACTGCGTTGTTTCCTTATCAAGTAGCTAGACACGGTGTACTCAATTACCGTAACAGCCATATTTACTGTAAGCACCATGAACATTGGCATGCTAGCAACCTCATCGGCATCACAGTATCAAAGCACACCTGTCAGTATGCGGATAGTGAAACCACGAAAGCAGAACTAAGAAAGGTCGAAGAAGAAAGCGTCTATCCTGTTTAGAAACATCGACCAAGGTAATTACAATCTGATTATTCCCATGTAAAAGGCAGGTGGCTTAAGAACGAAAAGTCGTACATTGGTTTATGGAAAGTACTGTCAATTGGCATTTTAGAATTTTGAGGTGAAATCGGGAATGGTTGGAGGTGTAATCCATTTTTATCCAATCAATTCACTCTTGTGCAAATTCCCAAAATGGAGTGCTAATTATTCTCACTTGCTTTAATTGTGTTTGAGGAGTTGCCTTTACATTCTATACGACTCCGATTTGCCATTAATTTCTGAATATTGTACATTTTTCAGTTTCCTTTCGATTAAATAAGCATTGTAGCTTTGTCCTCTATCTTGAAAAATGACTAACACCCGTATGGGCTTAAACAAAGCCCTACCCCTCTAGCAACACTTATAGGATCCTGAGAAGCAGAGCAAAATTGTTTATCTCTACTGAAGAGGAACGATTAACGAAGGAGGAATGTCAAGTGGTTGGTTCACCGTCTATGGATCAGTAAGCCAATAGGGAGAGAGGAAGCCAGTCAATACTTACCTTTAAAAATCCATGTTTGGGTACAGTTGAACTGCAAGTGTGAGGGAAAGTGGTGTGAATCATATACAATTTTCAGAACTCGAGTTGGGTAAAATAGGGTTCTGGAGGTATTATCCTCGGGTTCGTTTGGGTTCCACATATTTACCTAAGGGGACTTTTATTCGATTAAGCCAACGTTGCAAGGTGAAAATTATTATATCAAATAGCAGGCTTTGTGGTAGTTATCATCGGCCCTTTAGTTGACTTCGGGTTTCACAGCGGGGAGGAACATCAAAGTCACAAAAAGTGGAGAGGGGAACAGAACTCTAGTTCACGGAGGTTAAACGGCCGGACACGAGTAGATTGGGATTCTAAAGTGTTGTAACATCTCGCTTCAGTCAAAGCGGGTTTTTCCCTTATTACTTGTCTGTCCAGTTGAAGACTCCCATTAGGACAACAACTATTACTCTTCCCATGATTCGTTCTCGTCTGGACAAGATCTTCCAGTCGAAAGATTCTCACGGTTGTTTGCAGTACATCATTATGTAGGAGACAATTGGGCTAATTTCTCATTGCCAAAGTACTGCGCTTAAAACGACTCTAATTTTTCGGTCCTACAGTGCTTCGCTATCTGCCTTTCTGAGTCGGAAGATTTCAGATTCAATAGAGCCATTCTCAACCACACTCACTCATAACTTCGTAGTTTTATACTTCTGCCTCCACGTGGTGCACCCTGGGCAACGTATACTCATACGGGAAAAGAGTCTACTAATCGGCAGTTGACTTCTGACTTCAAACCACCATCACCCCACTGTATGTCCTATTTGACCCCTTTCACAGTACTCATCTCGCCTTTTCTCCACCTTTGTGTCTGTCTGCCTCTTCTACATCTTTGAAACGCTCTTCTATTCCCACCCCCTCTCGACTTTTTCTCACTTTGATGTTCCTCCTCCTCTCTGTGAACTCTGAAGTCAACTAAAGGGTTAATGATAACTTTCAAAACGCCTGCCATTTGATATAAATACTTCTACAATCGTGCTGCTGGATTTATACAGGCAGCTATTTGTGTGATATGATATTGCAGTTCAACTTTAGTTTAGATTTTCCTATTTAGAAGTTAGGATAAGGCTTCAGTCATGTTTATGCATGTGAATGTCTGATTAGCTAGTGGTGGCGTAATGCTTCTTGCATATTCGTCTGCTCAAGCATTTGAATTCCACTCAGATATCACATCCCGTGTCAACATTTACCCCAATTCCACCTGTTAGTCCAAGGCATTAAACATTTTTTATGAATAATACCACGCCAACAGAATTACACTGTGGTATTTGCGGAGAATTCGCCAAAGGTAGTAGGATAATTATGAAGCATGCCCTCAATGTGATCTAACTACCAAATTATATATATATTTCAAATGGCAGGCTTAATGATATTTATCATTAGCCCTTAAACTTGACTTCAGCTTCCCCCAAGGGTGGGGGGGGGGTACATTTATAGCAGTTAATTAAAAGCAATTCATTAGGTGTCTTCTTGCTTCCCAGAATCTTTGACTTTCCGTTCTTGTCTTTAGGGCTGGACACCGAATCAGGTGGGTCTTCTCCATTTCCTCCTGTGGGTCACACAGAGGGCATGTGGGTTGAGTGTATACTCCCAATCTGTGAAGATGTTTTGCCAAGCAATCGTGTCCGGAACGTAGTCTGAACTCAGCAACGGCTTCGATTCTTGGCCAGTCGGGTGTGTCGGAGAGTGCCACTGTCCACTGTTTCTCCTTTGTTCGAGCTTTAAGTTTGTTGCACCTTGAGGTATGGAATTCTCTCCTGATTAAGGCCTTCATTGTGTGGAAAGACATCGGTCGGTCCATGCATTGCAAAATCGTTGTCCCCTTCTTAGCAAGTGTGTCAGCAAGCTCATTGCTTATAATGATACTGTGGTATTTGCGGCTTATTCGCCAAAGGTAGTAGGATAATGATGAAACACGCCCTCAATGTGATCGAACTACCAAATTTGAGCCTTGGCAATGCAGTGGCATTGGCTATCAGATCGAGTGGAGGAAAACATTAACACTTGAGATTATATTTGGCTGCAATTCTAGTGCTTGGGCTCGAACCGTGGAAATAGACTGACGACCACACCTACTTTCAAATCAGCCTTTCACACTGATTTAAAAGGAGATATTCTTTGAATGGAGAACTCGAATTATTTTGTCAGGCTCATAAAGAAGATGGAGTTACCAGGATAAGGTAATTTATGACTGCAGAGAAGTTTTTTTAAATGGCAGGCGTTCTGATAGCTAACATTAGCCCTTTAGTTGATTTCAGGCTTCGCAGAGAGGGAGGAACATCGTGGAAAAATGTCGAGAGGGGGGGGGAACAGAAGAGTGCTTCAAAGACGAAGGTAGAAAAAAGGTGAGGTGAGTACTGTGGAAGTAGTCGAATATGGCATACAGTGGGGTCGTGGCAGTTTGAAGTCAGAAGTCAACTGCCCATTGATAGACTTTTTTGCCATATGAGTATACGTTGCCCAGGGTGCACCACGTGGAGGTAAGTCTATCGCACACCCCAGACTGCAGAGAAGTAGTTGTAGTTGAAGGAGGGGCGCGTACAATTAGATAAAATTCAACAAGAGATAATTGGGATTTTGACCAATGTGTTGGTGTGTCAAGTCAGAAGTTGCGACATTAATGCAAAAGGTTGAAGTTGGTGGTGGGAGGTGTGATATTTCAATCAACGTATCAATTGCATCCTGATGACACCATTCAACAAAATTTGGGAGACCAGCCTAGTACCTACACAATGGGGAGTTGCCATAGCAATACCAATACTAAAAGAGGACAAAAAACCCTAGCAACTTTGACAACTATAGGCCCATCTCCCTCTCGAGCATGCTGGTCAAATTTATGGAAGGAATACTTAAGGCGAGGTTGACCTGGTTCCTTGACATCAACAACATTCTTGGATACAAACAAGCGGGTTTTAGGCTACAAAGATCAACAGACGAATAAGTAGCCATTCTTTCCCAAAATACCAAAAATGCCCTTGATACAAGAAATGCCCTTACGGCTGTATTCATCGATTTCGAATCAGCATATGACCTAGTATGGCAACAGAACCTAATTCCAAAATTTTTCGAAGATTGGTAAATAACATAACACGCTAAACTGAATGAAAGAATTCATTGGACTGCGATTATATAAAGTCAGATATAGAAATGATCTGTCCAAATCAAACCTTTTATGAGCAGGCCTACCTCCTCAGGGAGCTGTCACAAGGTCTTCTCTTTTCAACGTCTTCATCAATGACACAGCTGAACTGGTACAGGCAGTCACGGTGTTCAAGTGCTTACTTTATGCAGATGATCTTGCTCTATGGTATTCCATCCCTAAGAAGATTGCTCAGAGGAGGATGAAAAGTGTTCTAAATTATGTACTTAGACTACTAACAAACTGGTGCGACAACATCCACATGATTATCAACACAACTCTCAACACCACTTACAAGATGCTTGTTCAATCAATAATGCCGTATTGCTGTGAGCCACTCATTACAGCCACTGAGGTGATACAAGATGTTTATTCAGCCAATAATGTTGTATTTCTGTAACCCACTCATTACAGCCACAGAGGTGACATTCAACTGTGAGCCACTCATTACAGCCACAGAGGTGACTCTCATATCAATCGAGAAGGCACACAACCAAGCATTACGACTAATTACTGGGGGGATAAAATCAACACCTATTGATGCAATGCTCCTAGTTACAGGAAGTGCCAACACCCATTGATGCAATGCTCCAAGTTACAGGAAACACATCACACCCATTGATGCAATGCTCCAAGTTGCAGGAAACACCACAATAAGATTGATGCAATGCGCCTGGTTACAGGAAGCACCACAATATGTTCTTGCCATGCTCCTAGTTACAGGAAGCACTACAATATGTTCCCACTCATAGTTACAGGAAGGCACCACAATAGGCGATGTAATGCTCCTAGTTACAGGAAGCACCACAATATGTTGGCAATCTCCTAGTTACAGGAAGCACCACAATAGGTTCCCTTATCACACTCATAGTTACAGGAAGGACCAACAACCATTGATGCAATGCTCCTAGTTACAGGAAGCACGACAATATCCTGCCATGCTCCTAGTTACAGGAAGCACTACAATA